GGGTCTGGATGCTGTTCAGCCAAATGGCTATTTCAATATTAGTTTAAATACTAGAACTCGCAGCTATAAGTGGAAATTAGTGGGAGAACATTTTAAAACAAATTTGAGGAATCACTTCTTTACACAGCGTGTAGTTAGAGTATGGAATAGTGCTAGTGTAGCGGAAGCTAAAACCCTGGGTTCCTTTAAATCAGAGCTAGATAAGATTTTAACAACTCTGAGCTATTATTTACAGTAAGTTCTCCCCAAATGAGATTGATGGGCCGAATGGCCCCCTCTCATTTGTAAATTTCTTATGTTCTTATGTTCTCTGGAATGGTGGAAAACCCACATAACTGCCTTTCCTAAAAGTGAGCCTCCTAGCTAAGCGGTATCTTTGTATTCCTGTCACTAGTTCACCTTCAGAAAGGGTTTTTAGTACAGGAGGCAACATTGTTACCTGCAAAAGAGCATCAACCAAGCCTGAGACCGTAAACCGGTCTTCTTAGCAAAAAACCTGTAGTGTGTCAAAGCAAATGTGTGCTTTCTTTTTTGTAACATAAAGAAGGTCCAAATGATACTAGATACAGTTCTAATCATGATTTTTTAGATACACAAAATAAATAAAGGTAGATATTGATTGCCAGCATTACAGACTTGGCATTGTCTTATGTTTGTACTTTAGCATACTTGCACTGTTAAACTATACACAGTTTATTTATTTTCTTTTTTAATTTGAGGTACTACATGTCCTAACATTCTGAATACTTGAAAAATCCAAAACTTGTTACATTTTAAGTGTGTTTTAAATGAAAGTTTTTTTTATCATAACAAAGCTATGAATAATGTAGCTCAATTTGGCTGGGGGCAGTCCATTTTTCAGGATTTGTAATTTTCAAAAGTGTCAATAAAGAAAAAACATCTGAGAATCTAATGAATGAAATATTCTTTTATAGAAACATTCACAGAAATGAACCATCGAGTCAGTTTTAGACTTTTTTGGATAATACAAGTTTTATTCACATTAGCAATCTAGGACAGATAATGCACATTTCTGGTAGACTGTCCCATCTAGCAAACTCATGTTTCTGGCAGTTTCTTGAACGGGACCAAGCCTGGTAGGGATCTTTTTAGCAGATAATTGATCTATTAAAAACAATACAGAGGCAGTTAAGTCAAACATCTCTGTCACCTTGTCTTTAACCATTGTAAGTTGGCTCCTCGCTGCTCGAGCTTGCTGTGTTAGCAACTAGCTAGTAAACTATACACACAAATCACAAACTTCATAATATGATATGCAAATCCCAAACCAAATCTTTAATCTTTAACAAAATTCCCACACCCGTTTAACGTCAGACGTTATATTAGTAGAACGTCTCTCATTCGAGTCTCTTTAAATCTGTTATTGCAAGTTACTTTTACTTAAAACTTAAAAAACACTTCTACTAGATGAAAATATACTACTTTCACAAAAAGGGGAGAAAATGTTTAACACAATTAATTTTATTATAACTATTAACATTAACAATTAACATTTTTTGAAGGTTTTATACTGTACAACTGTATGGGTAACAATGTCATAAAATGAAACAAATATACCAAACAGACTATAGGTCATATATAATTTATAAGAAAAGGGCCATGGGGGAAACAACAGTGAACCATACTGTATGTACATAAGCAAATTAACAAAAACTTGATCAAAAATCTTTCAGGAAAACATTTCTCTGAATAAAATGGAAAGGAAATACTGTAACGTACAAGAAGAAAGGCAATTGCCACATTTGCAGCTGTGAAGAGACCTCTCATCACAGGTGACACTGGATATTCTGGTCTGAATATGCGGACATAGTCCACGAACCCCCTCTACACAAGAGACAGAGAGAAGATTAATGTCAATTGCAACCCTGGAGACAAAGAGGAGGGGGGACACCCAAGCAGGTACGAGTAGAAGCAAACATATGTGTCAGTCTTTAAAAGATGTAGGTTGATTCTCAAGACTCAGTCCTACATTTTCCCTATTTATTGATCACCATGAAAGGAGAAACATATATATACCTTGGGCTGACAGGTTGAAATATCAAGACAGACAGATATCTTTGCTTGATAAATTAACCCTGAATTCCTTTAAAAAGTAGCATTTACCAAGATAACTAGAAATGGATCTCTGTTATCAATATAACTAATGAGATATTAGGCTTTGTTGACTGAAACACAACAAAAACGCTGAGCAAGATGCTGAGAACATGTTCTCCCAGATTCCATATTCTTGGACTGCTTTGGTGGTACAACCACTTACTTTCTAACACAGGCAAGACAACCAAGAAAAAAAAATATATAACAAGAAACTACATAAAAGGAGCAGTTTTTGATTACAAAATTACATGCACCTACCCAGCCTCCATTCTGGATCATCCATTCCTGTGTTTCTCTAAGAACATCAGTGATCATGTCTGCTAGCCGTCTGCAGCAGGTGAAATCTTCATCTATGGTAGACATTTGAACTGCCAGCATTCCCGTGAAGGCGAAGAGAATCACAATCTGGGACCACCTCATATTTTCACGATCAACCATATCCAGCATCACATTCCTGAGTTCGGTCCAGGTGTGTATGGGAAAGTTGCTCAAGAATGACTGCACAAGACGGCGCAGTGGGAGCCAGTACATATCCTCCACCTTCTTTGCTATGTATCGCATGGCTTTAGCGGACTCGCTGGGAGGTGTCCTCTCGATTCCAACACATAAGTCCATGTAATCATTTGCCACCATAAGAGTTTCGTCATGTAATGAGGTGGCCATATTCACTGAAAAGAGAGAACAAGAAACACTGCTATGCTTTGGACACTCAACGACTGGACAATTATCGACTGTCAGAAATACAATAAAACCATATTTTTGGTGAAAATAAGCAAACTTTCACGTTAAATTTCTTCATGGCGCCAAAGAGATGCAATTTTAAGAGGGACACATGAAGCATTTTTTTTAATCACTGGTATAAAAATATATAACAACAAGATAAATCACATTAATATACCAACTCCATGACACCATCCATGCTATTACATATACATAGAGACCATAACTATTTAAGTACCTTCCTCCTGCTCTGGCGTTTTCCTGAACCGCCGGTAGAGGTACGCTGTACCAGCGGCGGCAGCCACCACTCCAGCGGCACACGCAAATTTCATGATTCCCATCTTCTTATCCAAGGCGAAATGAGCAGTGTCTCCCGTCCCGCAGTATAAATAAGCATCTGCGTTCTAAACTACGTCAAAAAAAAACTCGCAATTTACG